TATGCATGGTATGGATAATTTCCTGAGTTACAATAATATTGTCATAAATTTGTCTACCAGGCATGAAAGTGCATTGATTTGGACTAATAACAAGAAGGAAAAACACTTTCATTCTCTTAGTAAGAATCTTTGTAACCACCTTATAAATGACATTGCACAAACCTATAAGATGCAATTCTCTAATCGTATCAAGGTGATCCTTCTTCAAAATGAAGATAATGAGAGTACCATTAATGAAAGCAATATCAAAAGGATTGCAAAACACATGCTTCACCATGGACATCACAGACTCCCCAACATGATCCCGTAGACTTTGGAAAAATAAAGCATTGAGTCCATCAAGCCCTTAGGCTTTTAAGGCACATGTATCAAATAAGGCTTCCTCGATTTCCAAGTCAGAAGCATCCTGCCTAAAGCTCTAAAGCATCTCAGAATCAATAGTTGGATAAGTATTGGAGCATATAAGAGCATCTCTAGTAGAATTCTCCTCGGTGAATAAGGAGGTGCAAAAAGAAGCAGCCATATTTTTAATAGCATCAATCTCATACACCCACTTTCCATTATCATTTTCAATGGCATCAACTCTATTACATTTTCTCCTACCATTTGCCATGTTGTAGAAAAATGTTATGTTTTTATCCCCAAGAATATTCCACTCTTGTCTAGCTTTTTGTGCCCAAAGTAAGTATTCTTGGATCATGACTTCCTCAAGCTCTAACTAGAGATCATTCTGAAGGTCTTCTAATTTTTTATTTTGAGGACAGGATGCAATCTTTCTAGTTAAACCTCAAGTTGAGCAAGAAGACGTCGTTTACGAGCCTCAGTAAACCCAAACACCTCTTTATTCCATTCATAACAAGCTTCCGCAGTAAATATGGTCTTGACCCCATACGCTTTTATTTTTATTTTTTTAAATTTTCATCAAATATGGGTGGAGCTGAGTTGACAGCTACACAATGTAATTTTTAAGGGACATGTTTTTGGCCACATAGGATGATTCAATGACTCAATCTGTGTTATGAATTATTTAAGAAGAAAATTATTAAAAACTGAAATATTAAGGATTGAGTTTTTGATGAGTTAAAAGTTTAGGGACTAAGTTATATCAAGTTATAATTGAGAAATTGAATTTTAAGTGGGGTTAAAATTTGAAGGACTAAAAAAAATAATTTTTTTTTTTAAAAACTTATGCCTCCAACAACGCAAGACATATAGATATATAATTTATTGTTTAAAAAGAGTGACTCAGACGGATTCACCACGCACAAGCCATCCCTTCACTCTATAAGGCATAGAACCCAGGACCTCTCACTTTCTAACAACTAAACCAGTACTTAATTTCTCTTTTGAATGGGCGTCTTTGGCCTAACTAGCCAGGGGCATGCTTTGTACTTTAAAAGTATGTGACTTGGTAACATACTACAGCTTAACAATGCACTAGATCTTATCACTTTCGTTCCTCTCCTTAATTACAAGGATCCAGCAGAGTGATCATAAAGTAGACAAGTCATAATTTGACTACAATATATTTTTTTTGAACGTAAAGGCAACTAAGAAGCGCGCATAGATACATCTAAAATAAAATAATACTTGAATAAATTAAGATAATTATCTTGAAGCATATTGTGATCTGTGGAAGCTCTAGATCTGAGTTTTGTTACTTCATATTACCAGTGAATACATGTCATCATCCAATCGAGGAATATGACTATTACAAATTCAATATTTAATTTGATTTAAAGATATTCTATTTTATTATGATATCTCTTCAATAATTGTAAATTTAAAAATCATGGTGATAGAATATTATATGTCTATGTCTAAAAAAGATGAAAGAAAACAAGTTGATAAAATCCACGAAGCTTCCCTTAATTTCGAGGACCGACAATGCAGAAAGATACAAGAAGGTGGGATAAGTGAAATGGAGAAAGCAAAGTAAGGAAAAGATATTTTATGGGCATGAGCATGAGTTATTTTAATGAGAGAATGCCAGTGAGGGTTGCTAAAAGAGACAAAAGCTGTAAGGACATTGAACAACTAAAAATTCATCAATACACAAGTTAATCAATAAATCTTTAGTTGTGCATATATGAATCTTCAATTGTTCGAAGTCCTCACTGCTTTTTTTCACTTCTCAAGGCCCTCATTGCCGTTCTCCCTATTGTTTTAATTGGGTAAGGCAACAAGTATAGTGTCTAGAGATATTTTAAAAAGGGGTAAGAATTAGGTACTTAGTCTTATCTTGTTAATGCTTAAACTTTTCGTGGCGTGGATGATGATTTTGCAAAGTTTTAATGCTAGAGTATTGATATGTTAGTTATGTAATCTCTAAGCTGATAAAATGGCATTGTAATAGGTATTTAATCTCTTGAGGCACACCTCACCCAATCATCAAACATGCTTAAACTATTTTTAGCAAAGCCAGTCTACACAGTAATTTCCTTCTCTAAAAGTATGTGTCACTCGGATCTCAATTCCATCCGAAATTAATCTGTTAATATTCCTGAGATGTTTCTTCGGCGTAGTACCTGTACATATCTAGTATTTCTTGAAGGCTTTGAATATAACTCAAGCTTAGAGACATTGTGATCTTTTGCATATTTCACACCCCAATGTATACCGCCGAGTTCAGCGTCGAAAGCATTACACGTACCAAGTTTGAGCATTCTCTTTATGGTTTTCAAACATTCTATTCTACTATTCCTTTGCTTCCATAAGTATCAACAAGCAATTCCAAAGATAATACTCCAACTTTTATACCCCATGCGTTCCTCAGTTCCTAAGCTGCAGCAAATTTGCAGTGTCTAAGGACGTGAAGCACATCCTCTTCCACTCCAGTACGTAAGTCACACATTGGCGAAGCACCAAATATTTGAATTTCTACGCTTGAAAGTCGTTCGCTCATGCATAACTAGCCGTCAAAAAATTTGAATCTTATGAGGCCGGTTCCATTTCCAAATTAGTTTCCATGAGTCGTTTATAGGCTCTGTTATAGTAAGAAGTGACAGCCTGGAAACATTATATAAGGATATTTTAGCTGATCAACATGAGGATGAACAACTAATCAAACATACATATCTCAGGTCAGAGCAAATCAACATTCCCTGAACCAGCGTTTATACCCAGTGTCAGTGTCACTCTGCATTTCGATCCAAGGGCCTCAATTAATAAAGAATTTGTAGCTAAACTTAATCAAAAACCTCAAACTGACTTCACGGACACATGCCTTCGTGGCCTCTGAAATTATGTTTTCCCATTCACCTAATGCCCGATAGTATGCTAGTGTTATTAAAGAACTCAGATGAAAACCTGCACCAATAGTGGCTTGTAGATATAGCCATTTCTTTTGGCCAACAAAAATTACAGGAGTTGAGTATTATTATTACCTGTGCTTCAGATTCTCTTGCACTCCTCATAACCTCCTTTCTAATGGAAGTTGTAACACTTGGCAGCAATCAAAGAATGCAACAATTTAATGGATATATATCCTTGATTGAATGGATTCCAAATCTGACACGCTTTCTTAATAGATACTGCAAAATCCTCAAATAGGGTCAGGACATTGGCCACATATATTTTACACAAAATTCAAAAGAAAAACTATCCAGATAGCTATGTTATTTCTTTTTTAACCTCAAAATAACAATGTTAAAAGTTAAAACCAAATATCTGGGAGATAATAGCCTCTTTACATCTGGATAACGAAAGCATAAACAGAAAAATTGAAAAGTAGAAACAATTCATCTAGCAGAGAAATATACTACAATTATTTCAAACGCAATCTGTTCAATGAAGAAAAAGTAGTAAACAGCTTTTGATTACCAGAATTTGATTAGGCATTTCTTATATAAAATTCTGCTACAAAACTAGTAAACTGAAAATTGATGATTAAAAAAAAAAGAGAAAAATATAACTTTTGATTGTAGCACTTTGCTTGAGTTTTGTTACAAGTCCCTACATCTTTTTTTTTTTTTAAATGTTCTAGATTTCCACACTTTTATTTTTTGGTGTTCTAGGTCCCTATAACATCCCTCATGAAAGGACTTAGATCACACAAAAAAATTAAAATGCAAGAACCTAGAACATGAAAAAAAAAGTGCAAAAATTTATAGCAAAACTCGGGCAAAAGGCAAAGATCCAAAATTATGCTTTTCCTTTTAAAAAAATGAACACTTAATTTGCACTAAAGTCTTCCATATACGCTGAGGCTGTATGGTCATCCCATGGTTCATCCAAGCATAACAATATTCAAGCACAAGGACATACTGAATTAACAAAACCGAGATACTAAATTTGTTATGTTATTTAATCAAAACTCAATTTCAAATTTACAAATTTACACTCAAGCAGTGAAGAAATATTATACTTTGGCATATGACAACCATGATCTACTCCACTTAGCTCAAACAGTTGGCAGATGCAAATTGGGGGACTAATATCTCCACCAGGGCCCAACTTATGTAGATCCAATCTGGCACCACCTTTTCATGAGCTTCATAAATTTTGTAATCATTCAACATGCTACTGACACTAAAATGTAATATTAGAAGCTACTTGCTTTATGGTTACAGTCAGTACATACCTATCTCAGTAAAATCTAAACTGTTTATTATCATGCTCTGCAGGAGCTCCTCCTTTTGTGATTGGAGAGCATTTGGCAAAGCTATGTACAGATTATATCACATCAACCAAGCAATGCTACAACGAAGAGATCTGTTGTTATGTTGCTGATTTTGATTTTCATGAGAACAATCAAGGCTCTTTGCCACCTGTATTGAAAAGCACAGGACATGGTACCAAAAATAACTCATAAAAGAGATGGAACATGCACAATATAACTAAAAGAAGGGGAGAGCAAAAAGAAAAAAGAAAGAACAGAAGCATAGATAAACACGAAAAGATCGAACAGTGGCATGAACCAAAAAAGGAATACCTGCATGCTCAACAAGCTTTTCTGCCGATGTTGACCGTTGAATTCTGATATTTGATTGGGCTGAGTTTCAAGCATGGCGCTTCTTCCCCTCAACTTGTGTCTCCTCTCTTTCAGTGTCTTCCCTCTTTCTCTTTCTCTTTCTTAGTACGGCCTTCTCCGTTGAAGAATGAATTGACTGAGGTTCTTTTTCTTTCATAAAAGCAACAAATTCCTTGAGCTGCAGCTTCTGTTTCCATGGGATTTCACTGAAGCGTAGAATCATCTGCATTGGGTCTTTTTCCATCTCATCTATTGCAAAATTCCATTCATCTAATGTTTTACCAATTAAATAACGGCCCATTGCCTCCAAAATTAATGGAATGCCACGTGAACAAAGTATTGCACGTTTCAAAACGTCCATGTGACCAGATTTCACATTGTTCTTATTGAAAACAATCCCATTAAACATTTGAAGAGCCTCATCATCACTTAGTTTCTTGACATCATAAATTTTTTCAACACCATGGCTGACTAGCAACTGTCTATCCCTTGTCGTGATAATGATCCTGCGTCCTTGACCAAACCGTTCACATCCTCCATTAACTGCTAGTACCAGATTTAATTTTTCAATGCCATCCAGAATTACAAGGATCTTTTTTTGTGGGAACCAGGGCGGTATTATCAAATCATTGAAACTATCCAATACGGAATCATTGCCCCTGACTATTTCAAAAAGTCTCGAACTAGAACCAGAAAAATACCATAAATCTTCAAAATGATGAGCAATGAAATTACACACAGCACTTGCTATTGCTGATTTACCTATTCCGCAAGTTCCACAAATTCCTACCATTTTGACTTCCTCATTGGACCCAACATCTAGAAGTGAGATTATTTCTTGTACCCGAGACTCAAGTCCCACTGAATCATCCGGAATGCGTAAAGGAAATGCATTAATAATTGAAGAGATTGCATTAACAATATTCTCAATAATCTTAACCTTGTGTTCTTTTGCAGACCTGGCCAATTTTTAAGAAATTCACTTTTTAATCAAACAAAAATTATGATACAGTACCTTTAGAAATGAAATATAATGCCCCCCATGTTTCTCGCAAATCGATCGGAATGAGAATAAATAGCACTCGTAACATAAATAATTTAAAATAGAAATGTACAATTATATTAAAAATATGAAAAATATCAATCAAGGACCTTTGTACACAATTTATAGCAAAAAAGCACTAAAAGATTTTGAATTTATACTGCCGGATTGGAAGACTAAAATGTAATTAAATTTGAGTATGAAATAACAATAATACCCTTGATTTTTTTTTTTTTTAAGAAAAGAGTCAACCCCATAATCACTGGCGCCAGTCACCGGACTACCGCTAAAAGTCCCATTAAACAATTGCAAATAATAATAACAATAATAATAATAATAATAATAACAACAACAACTTGTGTCGGCAATAATATTTCTCACCAATAAAAGTATTTTTGTAAAAATTATTTTTTCCAAAAAATAAATCATATAATTATTTTATCATAGCATTTCTCAAAACTAAAAGTATTTTTAAAAATAGTTCAAAAATTAAATATAGTTAAATTATGTGAAATAGTTTTATAAAATTATCATTTAAATGGTTAAAAATAATTCTTCTTATGAATTATTTTTTTTAATTTTAATAATAATAATAAATCTTATTTCACTAGGTACTGCTGAGTAATTAAAGTTAGAATGCAGTATTTTACTAATGCAACATCGCTTTTGTTATCTTCCTGGGCTGGACTTGATGATCCCATGGTCATCCTTTAGGCCCAATTATATTGATGCAGCCAAGGGCGTTTTTCAGGCCGAATAATAATATATATACGTATGTATGTATATATGTAATTGTAATTAATTTTTTATCAATGATTATTCAAATACATGAAAAATACTGTTCAGAATCACTTTTTTTTTTTGGTCATTCAACTCATTTTGAAAGCAACCAAGAATAATATATACATACACACGTAATATGTGTGAGTGTGCATGAGTATGAGCGTGTATGCGCGCGAGCTAAGCATCTCTGTTCCCACGTAATTAAAGCTGAATAATGCTTATTAGAATTATCTAGTGCTAGAATCAAAATCTATATTCATACATAATCTATATTTATATATGATATATCAAAAATTTAAAAGTCATATTCATAAGTTATAAATAGTATAAATTATTTCTCAAATTCCACGTAATGTATCCAATGGATGATGTAAGGGTCCCTTGAGTATCTAATAAGCAATAACTTAAGTAATGACCAGATAATAGAAAGGAGAAAAATTAAAGAAAAGGGTGAGGTAATACCTGGGATTGAAAAAATACCGTCTGCCTCTTGAAGCTGTTTCGAACAAAGCCGACTTCCAAAGTTGCACTTGTTGTTTGTCAGTTTTAATATCTTATCAAGCCAAGCTGATGCCTCCACGTCATAAAATATTGTGTAAACTTATCGACATTCTTTTCTAAAGCACTCAAGAATAATTGTAAGGCTATTCAAACAAGATGTTGAGGACACATAGTTTTTGGAGATAACTATTATAGTTTTCCTAGATTCTTCTATTGCCTTGAATTCTTCCACATTGGGGTTGAGGAATTCATCATTGGCCAAAAGATGGATTCTTCTAACACACATGGAATTGTAGAGATGACTCACAAAACTTGAACATCCATAATCATCTCCATAACTCAAAATCACATCATAGGTCCATCTGGATAGGTATACTGCTCGCTTATCGAGATTGATCATGTTTGGAGCTAAGTCTTGACAAGTACATCAAAACATCATTTGGAGTTAGAAATTTTGATTTACAGCTATTAGTTATAAAGTAGTGAACTTGCAAAAGTGATAGAAGAGAGAAACTTTAAAATCATCATATTTTTAATAAAGGGCATCTATCATCCATTTGTTTGTGCATGTTTATATATGAAGTGAAGATAAACATGGAGATAAAAATCATCATATTAGGGAAAACAATTTTGAAATATTATCTTTGTCCATAGGAATAGGCAGCAATTACAAATTGTTAAACATAAAATAGAAAAAATTCATTATTTCTTTCCTCACCTAAAATTCAAACCTTACGCCTCTTGAAAATAAGAGATAACTCCAATCACTCTTCCAACTCTACTACCAACATGTAAATGGATTCGAATCCTTTTCATACTCTCTCTCATTACATCTCTCCATAACTAATCTTAACCATTCATTTAATTATTGTTTTGATTTAATGGTATGAAATTGCTAATTATATTATGAAAATAAATATAATATTCATTTAATGGTTATCATTAATAAGCATTGTGGTCTTATTTTTAAAAGCATTTAAGTGATTATCGTGAATAATCTATTTATTTTAATGCCATAATTAGCAATCTCATATCATTAAATCAAAACAATAGTTAAATGAATGGTTGAGGTTGGATATGGAGATATGTATTGAGATAAAGTATGGAGAGGATCTAGATCCTATTGCAAACCATTACATATAGAGATAACTTCTAAAGTAAAATTTGAATTTATCTAATTAATAAATTAATCAATAAATTTAATAAAAAATATATGAAAATTATAAAAAAATGAAAGTACATTATTTCTATGTATAGGGAAGCAATAAACACCAACTTTTAAATGTTCATGTGAGATTCAACGTCCACAAAAAAAGAGAGAAGAAAATAGACTGTTAGTGGTGACTCTAAAAAGTCGTTGTTAAAAATAAACAATATGCGGCAACAAAAAAATTTACCACTGAAAGTTTGACCTTCTGTGGCGACATTCAAACCCATCGCTAAAAAGGTAACTTTGTAAAGTGACAATATATGGTCGTCACTAATTGTCAAACTTTTAATAGTGACAAGTGCATGTAGCCACCGAAGGTCTAAGTTTTACCGGTGACTTATATGTTGCCACTGAAAGTGCACAATCAATGACAATGTTTTAGAGTCACCACAAAAAATGAGACTTTACTAATACTTTTTTTAATAATTTTTATGTTTTTATTTAAAAACATGTTAAAAATAATTTACAAACAAAATCAGAGGGCATATATATGCTATATACATCCCCTCCTGTCCTTATATTAAGGTGCTTTCAACATTTTCATATATCTTGAGAAAATATTGTTACATGATTAAAGTTGTCATAAATATTAAAAAAAAGTTTTATTGACCTTATTAATTAAATGGATGTCAAATTTCACTCACAAAAGCCTCTGTGAGGCAAAAATTAAAAATTATTATGTACTTTTACAAGACATATATGATTTGGATTAAGAAAAATCTTCTAAACAATCTTATATATATAAAGGACAATGGGAGGTATAATTTAAGGTCCTGTAGAGTCCCTCAAAAAGAATTCTAATTATTAAAAAGTCCCACCAAAAGTACAAATAATCATGAGGTCCCTACGTCCTTTGTTATAAATAAGATTGGAGACACAATTACTATATTTCCATGTTGGAGTAAAATGAAAAAAAAAAGTTAAAAAAGTAGTCGTTGAAGGTCTAAGTTTTAGTGATGGCATCTAAGTCATCGCTGCAAATTCACAATCAGCGATGACATTTTAAGTTGTCGCTGAAAATCTCACTTTCGTGACAATTAATGGTAACTAGATTTTACTATCATAATTTTTTATTTTTTATTTAATCCAATATTTAACATTCTAAGACATTAATTTTTTTGTATTATTATAATTTTGTAATAAATATATAAAATAACATAATGAGTTTTCATTTAATATATTTTATAGTTAAATTGTAGCTTTAAAATAATGAAATTATTGTAAAATAATGTTAAAGTATTATTTAATTCTAAGAATCAAACTAAAGAATTAAGCCAAACTATATTATTCAAAAACCTAATGTTTGATATTTTAATTTGGAATGCATATAATACAGTAATGAGTCTCTATTTTTAAATGTTTTATGATTAAATTGATATTTTAAATAATAACACTACTTGTTTATAATAATTAGACATGTGATAATTAAATTTATTCATGCATAGAATGATATTTTATTTAATTTAATTTTTTAATTCTAATTCTACATGTAATACTAGTAATTTTGAAGCTTGATACTAGTTTAGAGGTTCCCAATTCAATGACTAATGATAGGGAAGAGGAAAATGAAAAGAAAAGAAATGAGATATTCTAAAATTTTACTTTTGAATTCTACAACATATGAAATATATCTATGTATGTTATGCTATATGATTTTTTTTTTTTGTTTGATGCTATCTTGTGACATAAATATAAAAAAAATAGATAATATAGTGTATAATTTGCTTATAAAATTATAATTTAAAAATGAAAACTAATTAAAAAAGTAAAATGTAATGTAAAAATAAGCCAATTATATTACCTAAGAGTTATTGTTAATGAAAAGTAAATATAAATTTTAAATAAAACTAGCCAGAAAAATAAATAATTATGATCTAATGTGTAATCATCTATATTTTTATTATTTATTCTTAGATATTTTATATTATAATTATAAATATGAATATTAAAATAAATAATACAATAATCTTGAGAATTAAAAAAATAAAATAAATAATATAAATGACATTGTATCAATTATATTTATAGTTTACTTTAGACAACATAAATAACATAATTTGCAATTTTAATAAATTAAAAAATTAAATTGTAGCATTTAATGATAGTAATGATATTTTATAATATTTAATATTTAAGATATATGTGTGTTTGTTTAGTTTAGTAATATATATATATATATTATTTAATTATGTAATAATAGACTGTAACTTCCCTCCAGTTCAGTGGCAAAATGGCAAGACACAAAAGAAGAAAGTCATGAGTTTAAACTTTGGAGGAGGCAATTTGTGAAATGAAAATATAAATTGGTGATACGATGACATGTAATGTGAGGTGAGGATGAGATGTGGAGGGTGACATGTGGAAGACGATGTGCGCCACATGGGAGGGCGCCAAGGTGCCGTGTGGCTAGGTAAATTAGTTTTAGCAGTGACAAAAATATCACCATTGATTGGCAATTTTTGCCAAAAAAAAAAATTTTGCTGTTGATTCTCAACTTTCAACGACGACAAATGTTCCTTTTTGCAGTAACATTTGTCATTGCTGATTGAATATTTTCAACTACAATTTTTATTGTTGCCATAGACAAATTTAATGACAAGAGTTCTAGCAGTGACTTTTTATCTCCACTGAACACTTTCAGTGGTGACTTTTCAATCACTGAAATTCATTTTTTTTTGTAATGTACGTTAATTATTGAGGGCTTAATACAACCCCTCTCCTTTATCTAGGTTTAAAACCGACTATAAACATAAGCTATAAATGTAAAAAGAAAAATTTAAAGGCAACATTCTTTTGTTACCTATAGATTATAATAGGAAATATTTTTTAGATGTTATAATGAAAACACTTTTATAGGCAATAATTTTCAGATTGCCTTGAAATTTTTAATTGAACAATTGAAAAGTACTGCCTATTTCACTTTATGTGTTGCCAAATAACTATTGATTGCAGTAGAAATTAATAGTAACACATGAAAACTGTTGGTTATTCACATCCTAAACAATTCTTCAAAAATGTTTGCAAAGACAAGTGTTGCCAAAAGCCAAAAATGTTGTATTGCCTATTCATATCATCTTCAAGCTCTTTTCTATATTATTGGTGTTGGACTTGTTGCCATGGCTAGTAATCAAGGTATGTGTTTTAATATATGAGAAAGATATTAAAGGTAACACAAAAGAAAAGGAGAAACCAAACCATGATAAGGCATGCCTTCAAGTTCTTCCCAATTTTGTGTTTGTTGTACTCTTAGCCAGGTGTTGCAATCAACATCTATTCTAAGGTCCATGAATCGAATAGTGTTTGAGTTATTTTGTAACTTGTAGACATGAAGTGCAAAATGAATTTCACTTTCAATTTCTATATCTTGTGTCTTTCTCTTGATGGAAACCTTCACATGATTCCATTTATATCCATGGCTGAGTTTAGCTTTTTCAGTCATGCTTTGCAGATCACATATATGTAAATGCCATCTTCAATGTTGATAACAAAAGCCACTCAGAAGAAATATCTACCTTGGTGTCATTGATGTGCACCAAGAATATACAATAATTGGAGAGAAAATCCTGATAATCTTTAACAAGGATCCATAGAAAAATGGTTGGGATCACATTACGAACCCAAAAAGACACGTAGCTTTCCTTACCATAATTGTCAAGATTTTCAGGGAATTTTCCTTCAGGTAAAATAAAATTTCTTTTCCCAAGTTGCAAGTTGAGTGCCTAGCAATTGCATATAATGAAAAAATGATGAATAAAATGTAAGAATAGATAATTATAAATACATAAAGGGAGGGACGAAAGGAGAGAGACTTGATACAATACTTTGCTTTTGGATGAGTTTGTCAATAACATGCAACATATGGCACTGAATTTTTCCAAGTTTGGTGGCATTTCCTCTTTATGTAGAAGTAGCTTGCAATTATCCAATAAAAGGTATCTCAAATGGTGGCATTCTTTGATGCATGCTGGAAGAGTTGTAAAATTATTGAAACTTAAATCTAACCGTATCATATTAGCAAAGTAAGAGAGGAAAAGAGTAAGAGAGTCATCTGATAAATTTCAATTTGAGAAACAAAAATGTTCCAATTTTAGAGATTGAGCATAAAAATCCAAGTTCGCTTCCTCTTCTCCCACACACATCTTGAAATGCTTCATTCCTTTGCAAAAAATTTGCATTTAGTGCCCAAAGGTTTGGCAATGAATAGATGCTAGCTGGTAGTTGCTTAAGATTAGGACATTCCTTTATGTTTAAAATTTCAAGTCTGATAAGATTACAAATTGAAGATGGCAACTCAGTAATTGATGTCCGATCTAAATCAAGGGTTTTTATAATTTTCATCTTGACTAATATCTCGGGAAAATTTTGAAGGCTTAAACAACCAAAGAGGTTAAGATGCTTGAGAGATGTTGACCTAAGGTCAAGTGGCATAATCTTCAAGTTATTGCATCGCATGGCACTCAATTCCTTTAGTTTATTTAAACATCCAATTTGAATGATGAATTGTAATTAAATTTTCACAATCATCAAGCCACAATTTCCTTAAATTAGAAACTCCAGACAAATTTGGTGTTTGATGTAAAAATTTGCAATTTCTGAAGTTCATATAACTTAAACTGTGAAACTTCTGCAAAATTAAACAATCATAAATTCTTTAAAAAGTTAGGCAAATAAACCATGATGAAACATATCAAGTATTAGATATAAGTGTATACTTGCCTTTGTAAATGGCTGGAGTGATTCAAAATAACTATAAGACAAGTCTAGATACACAAGTTTTGTAAAGCAAATATTATATGGCAAAACCTTAAAAGCCTTCCATTTCAACCACCTTAAACCATTTGGGAGATGTTTGGGGCATTTAGAAAAGCTTGCATTTTTTTATCACAAGCATTTTAAGATTCAGCATCTTCATGAATGCCTTTCCGCTCCATTGTATTTAAACTTCATTACCTTCAGGTAGGTCTAGAATTATGACTTCAACTTTATTAGTTCCCTTTCAACATGAATAGCACACAATAAATTTCAAAATTTAGACACGCAAAAATCATATTGTAAGTTTTAAAGGAGAAAAAAAACATAATTCACATATTGATGGATCTTACTGTGTTTTGTTTTAAAACATGAAGAATATCTTTTTTGAAGCATAACCTACTCCGTTCACTAGGCTTACTTAGTGATTCTTGTCAAACAATCTCTTTACCCATATCTTCTACCAAATCATGCATTACCACTCTATCTCCTTTAGATAAGGGATTTGTCAATCAAAACTTCAATAACATAGTCTGTTGGGATTTCATGTAAACAATACAACATATCCTTGACTTCTAAATTTTCACCTTTGAAGAAACATGCCATGTCCAGGAAATTTTTTTTCTCAATTTCTACTAAAGCATCATAGCTTAATCTAAGGACTTCCAAAACTCTTCCTTTTGGAATTCTTTTAAATTGATCCAATGCAAAGTGCCATTCATTAACTCCTTTACCACATAAGTTAGAGCCAATCACTGCTAGAGCTAATGGAAAGCCACAAGAATAAAGTATTGCACAATTGGAAACTTTCATGAAGTCAGACTCCACATTCTCCTTTTTCAAGGCATGCCAACTAAACAATTGAAGAGATTCCTCATCATTTAATTCCCTCACATTGTAAATGCTATTAACATGATGAGTTACTAACAATTGTTTATTCCTTGTTGTCATGACAATTCTACTTCCAAGACCAAACCAATCACAACTTTCAGCTGGTGCTTCTAACCATTTCAATTCATCAACATCATCAAGAATCAAAAGAATGTTCTTCTAGCCAAGCCTGTGTTTTATTATTGGTATCCCTTCATAAAAATCACCCAATTTGAGATCCTTCTCCATGACTAATTTACAAAGTAATGCCTCTTGAAGATGTGCCAAACCATTTGGCATTTTAGACTCTTCTTATGCTAAAAAGAAAGCATAGGCCTTCAAAATGATTAGCAATAGAATTATACACAACTCTTGCAATCGTTGATTTACCTATTCCACCAACTCCCGTAATTCCTATGGTTTTATTTCCCTTAGTAGACTAAAGATCTAAAAGTGAGACTACTTCTTTCACTTGGGACACAAGTCCAACGGGATAATGAGTAATGTATAAAGGATTAAGATTAATCCTCGCCAATACTTCATTCATGATCTTTGTAGTATATTCTTGTTCGTTTGCAATCCTGAGGAATTGAAGAAAAAATTCACAGTTAATTATCAAACTAAAAATTATATGACAAGCCCAAATTATCTGTAGTCGTCTCCACTGTTACCTCCTTGTAAAGAAAAAGTTCCGTTCCTCATCAAAGCAAATATGCAAGTATTGTGAAACTGAACCCCAGCTTATTTTGGTAAAGAAAAATAGAAACCCAATCCTGTTTATCAAGAAAAAAATTAAATCTATAATATAAATAATAAAAATAAGCATTGTTATAAACATGCGCGTGCAAATAAATAACGTATTTTATTAGGCATTTGAATTCCATGTATATTATACCAAGATTGTAATTTGTAATTAATCATGCCTAATTATTGATTTGGCCATTTTGTTAGAAACAAGTCTGAAAAATAATATTCAAATAGTTGAAAAATAATACCTAAAGTAATTAAGAAGAAAAATAATAAGCAAATGAAGGGGAAAGCATACTCGAATTTGAGATGACAGCCTTTCAAGTTAGCCGCTTGGGATAAAGCCAACCTCCATTTTTGTGTTCTTTGAATGTTGGCTTCAAATCTTTTCTCCAATCCAGCCAACGCTTTTGCATAGCTTCCTCTTGGACGTCGCAGCTCTGATGGATCCACATAATAAAACACTGGATATATTAATCGACATTCCTCTTTAAATCACTCAAGAATCTTTTCAAGTTCTTGCAGACAGAATGTCGAGCTCGCATAGTTCTCAGAGAAAACTATGATGGCTATCCTAGATTCTTGTATGGCTTTGAGAAGTGCGGGTGTGATTTCTTCTCCGGTTCTGATGAACTCATCATCAATAAAGACGCGAATTCCTCTTTGACGCAAAGATTCAGGGAGAAAGCCAACGAAACCTAATCGAGTATCTTCACCATGGAAACTAAGGAACACATCGTACTGCCACTTATAATTGATAGAAGAGGACAATACAGGCTTCGCCATGGCAGGTAGCAACGTCGTAAAAGGGTTGAACGAAGTAACAGAAGTTCAGAATAAAATAAAGAAGAGATATCTTCGGGCTAGAGGCGTGGGGAAGTAAGTTTTGACTTGCATTTCAATAGTTGAAAGCCCGCGTGGGAGCGGGGAAATGTGAAAAGGAGAAAACACACACGACATGTGGAAAAGAAATTGTTGTTGTATTTTTTTGAATTTAAAAAAAAAAAAGTACTACATATCATTCATATATTCAATTCTAACGTATGGAAAAGTCTTCCGCAAAATTCAGTATTTATTAGATAAATTATTAGATTAGAAAGATTATCAGATAGAATTATAAAAAATTAAAAGGTTAAAAACATTTTAATTGAAATAACTAAATAAATAAATAAAATTATATTATCAAATATTAAAGTTCTTGGTAGTTTCAAAGAATAGGTCCCCTGCACTTGTATTGCGTAATTTAGGGAGCCAGAATATGTCTTATTGACTGAGGAAGCTTCCTATAAATTACTTGGGTCATAAAGATGCTGGAAAATGGGAATGGTTGCCTCATCCATCAAATTCTTCTGCTCCCATGTAGATTCACACCCCCCCCCCCGGGCTTTATGTTTGGGCACAAGGGAAAAATCTAATTTCTAAAAGCTAGTATAATAAGAATTTTAAGTTTATTATCAGAAAAATATAACTTTTAGTTATTGATTTTTTTTTCTCAATTATTGATTTAGATTTCAAATTTTGATTAAGCACAATTCAGTCCCTATATCTTCATTTGGAACCATTCTTTACAGTTTCTTGATTCCATATAACTCATTTTCTATAATTTCTTAACTAAATAAACCACAAGAATTGAGATTTATTGAGTCAAAAGTTAGGGACTAAATCGGTATTTGATAAAAAGTTTATGAACCAAAGTTATATTGTCCCTTTATTATTTTATTTTTGTTGTGGGAAGATAAATTTCCCATTAATTTGTAGTAGCAAATGCTTTCAGAAATGGACCCAATATTTGACCACAACAGAAAAATCTAATTTCTAATGCTCATATCTTCTCTTGGGAAGACAAAGTTCACATTAATTAATTTGCAGCATAAAATGCTTTCAGTTGAATCCATCAAAATTGAGGATAACAAGAACAGCTACGCCAGCAGAAACCAACAAAATCAGAGGAAATAACAGGGAATAATAAACAAGAGGTAAGGATTGGTTCTTTCATTCAATAGATGGATTCCTTGTCAAGTCCAAGTCTTTGGGAAGGTTGGCCTCAATCCATCTTCACTTTCTTCTCCATTGTCGTGGTCTCCATTTTATTTTATGGAGTGAATTTTCTCGAACTTTATCCTGATATCAGTTAAATCATTTCAACATCTGAAATAAAACATCCATTATTTCTTCATAGGTTTCAACATATGGCCCTCTGTTAGTAACTGGTGAAAGAACAAAGTGGTCAACATCCAGGGAACTGTAAAGATATTTCCATTACTACAACACACAGAGATCGTAAAGTTGATTTTCTTGGGATTTCTCAAGTCTAGTTGGCAACATTATACAGTAATGCTTTGCATGCCATACCCAATATATGATGCTAAATGTCAGATCACATAGTATCTGTACCTGTGTCATCTCTTGTATGGCATGGCCACGCTAACATGTGTTGGATTTATTGCCTCTCTTTAAATTATAAAACACTTTTAGAAGAATTTAGTATCTCAAAATATAAGACACTTTAACAAAAATAAAATTTTATTAATGATGTTTTTTCAATATTATCCTTCTCTTATATTCTCTCTCCTTAATATGATTTAACAAATGGAATATTAAATGAAGAATATTTTTGAATGTTTGTACTTTTTTTTGAAAAAATATGGTTGTGAAATGTATTTAATAACCTTAATTAATATGAATAATTTCATCAAAAATTATCTTATAATTTAGAACGAAGGAACTATTTTTTGGTGAAGAGAGTAGGTAGAAACTTAATACAGCTAATTACATAAAACTTGGACAAGGGAGTAATTGCCAAGTCCAATATCTATGCACTACCGTGAAATATTTCAATACCTGAATTGTTCAAGTTTGGTAGTCTCACAGTATCATTATCCTTGTCATGCACTCTGCTTTTGTTTATATCCAAGCATTAGAACGCATTTGTGTATGATTTTATCATCAATATTAAAACAGCTAAGATTATGGCAACATCTTGCAAGGGCAACCTGATTTACTTGTGAGCTAATTCTGGTAAGGCTATTCGGACATGAATCTTTAAGAACAATTCAAGTCGGATAACATATAAACGAATATAAAGAATAACATATTTCAGTACCTGAACCTTTTGAATTTTGTTCCATCACGATATTTATATGCATGTAATCTGCTGTATGTTTGTTCGTATCTACATTCCTTAGATAATCTGTATATTAATTTGTCAATAATTATTAATCAGCTTCTCCACCAGCCTGATCTTCTCCAGGAGTTGCACTGAAAATCAAGACTGTAACTGGCCAAGCAAGAGGCTTGAACATATTAACTAGTGTTTGAATCTATGTCAGTTGCAAATCAGAGATTGAAGTTTATATGTCACTGCTAATTATTTGCAAATAAAACTCACATATTAACAAGTGTTCGAATCAATATTTATCAGCAAAATTTTAAAAACATCACTGTCATTTACTCTTTTGGGACCTCTGTTTATTATCCATTCATCTTAAAGCATCAGTGCGTGATTTTATCATCAATAGTAAAACAGCTAAGAATATAACAAAGTCTTGGAAGGGAAATTCTAATGATCAGAGCTGACAAGGAACTGAACTCTTAGAATTGGTATCACATTATCAATGATTACACAATATATAGAAGACAAAATACAAAATATAGAAACAAGAGAAACAGTACTTGCAAATGTGAGAAACAGAGTACTGAAAGGAAACTCATCATTATCCAGTCCTTATCCAACATAAACGAAAAAAATGAGGAATCCAAGTGGAAAGGTGAAATCCTGGATCACAGTTCAATCTCTTGCATGCAGCATAACCTCTAAGTTGGAGTGGTTTGAGTAGTCAACTCCACTGAGAGTTCTATGGTCTCCAATCTCCATACAATCTGATTCAAACACCAGATTCATGTGGCTAGTGTCCTAAGCCAGTTTTAACCCAAGAGTGCACGCCCAAAGTTCTGAGGAAGAAGAGGGAATTACTAAGCCTAATATCCCTTCCTGCTAGGGTTGCATTGTTAAGACTAAAGTCCAAAAGAAGATTAAGCCCACTAAATATAAATCCAGTAACAGTAAAAAGGCCCAGACATTATTTTATAATGCTTTATCTGTCCAGATCAAGCTTCTTTTTGTCTTATTGTATTTTATTATTCTTTCATGTACATACGTGGCTCCCTTTCTGTATTCTAGGGTTGCATGCTGCCCTATATATATTGTTGTAATATTCCTGGTGGGTTACGCCACATATAATATTCATCTATTCTACAAATCCTTTCTTGGTATCAGAGTGTAGCAAGGTTTACAGCCATGGATCAGTCTTCATTTATGGGTACTGGTTCTAATCTAGGCTTAGGTTCTTCTTCTCTACTAGCTGCTACTGTTTTGCCCAAGATCAATGGAGCTAATAGTTCATTTACTCAAGCTTGTTTTGTCAAGTTGGACAGAACCAACTATCTTGTGTGGCAAATGCATATGCTACCCATTATTAAAGGGTACAAACTTAAGGGGTTTATTAATGGTTCAAAACCATGTCCACTTCAATTTATTACTGTTGAAAATGCCACTAAAATCAACCCAGAATTTAAGGAATGGGTCTCTACAGATCAGATTTTGTTTGGGTGGTTGGTTAATATTATGTCTCTCGAGATTTCCTCTGAGATGACCCATGTATCAAGTTCAGTTGGCTTATGGACTGCAGCTAAAGAACTAGCAAGTGCTCAAATTAAGGCATGTGTTCTACTCTTGCGTGCCGAGCTTCAACGAACACGGAAAGGGTCTTTAACTATGACTACCTACCTTGCTCGTCTGAAAAATATTTCCGAGCAACTCTCCATTGCAGGTAGTCCTATTCCCCTATCTAATTTGATCATTGAAGCACTAGCTGGCTTAGATGGAGAATATAATGCAATAGTAGTTCAACTCTCCTTTTCTGCTGAAACTCTTAGCTGGATTAAGTTTCAATCAGTACTTCTCACTTTTGAATGTCGCATGGAGCAACTCAACCAATACTCTCACGTCCCTAATTCTGTTTCTGCTCATTTTACTAACTATGTTCATGCTGAGAATCGTAACTCCACTAGAGGCTCATGGTGTGGAGGCAGAAACAATCATTCTCAACGAGGATGAGGACGAGGTAATGGTAATCATGGTGCCAAAAATGGTGACAAACCTCAATGTCAACTTTGTGAAAAATTTGGACACGCGGTTGATACTTGTTTCTATAGGTATGATCGCACTTTTGTGAAACCAAGTGCTTGAAATTTAATGGGTATGGAAATTCTACTTCAAACACTAATTTCAATGCTGCCTTTATGGCCACTCCTGAAGTTGTGAATGATGATGCTTGGTATTTGGATAGTGGAGCTACTACTCATGTGACTAATGATGTAGCTCGCCTTGAAAATGTTGCTGAACCTAATGGTAATGTTAATCTAATTGTTGGTAATGGTGATAAACTTACTGTTGAAAAAGTTGGATCAACTAGTATTCAAAATGTCCCTAACAAGAAGATTAAACTTAACAACATTCTTTATTCACCCAAAATTAAGAAAAATTTGTTAAGTATTTATAAAATGGCTTTAGACAATGATGCTGATGTGATTTTTAACTCTAAGGGTTTCTCTGTGAAGGATCAAGCAACAGGGATAATAATGTTGCAGGGACCTCTGGTTAGTGGCATGTTTTGAGTTGATGATACTCAGAACAAGAATGGTGATGCAGAACAAGTTTTTAGTGCTAAAGAAGAAGCTGTTAATTTAGTATCTAAGTCTAGTATTACTAGTAGTAGAATTTTATGGCATTGTAGACTTGGACATCCTAGTGATAGAGTGCTAAACAAGATTATCAATGATTGTAATTTGAAGTCTATTTCAAACGAAGTTGTTTTTTGTGAATCTTGTAAATTTGGGAAATCTCATTCTCTTCCTTTTAAGTTGTCTACCTGTCATGGCACCAAACCTCTCAAATTAATTCACACTGATCTATGGGGTCCCTCACCCTTGCCTTCTTTGAATGGATATCGGTAGTATGTGTTGTTTGTTGATGATTGTAGTCACTATTCTTGGATTTATCCTTTGAAAACCAAGGATGAAGCTTTGCCTATGTTTACTCAGTTCAAAAAATTTGTTGAAAAACAGTTTGACAAACAGATCAAAATAGTACAAAGCAATTAGGTTGGTGAATATCATAGTTTCTCAAAGCTATTACAAGAAGCTGGAATTCATTTCAGGCACTCATGTCCTCATACTTCACCTCAAAATGGAAGGGCAGAAAGGAAGCATAGACATATAGTTGAAATGGGACTTACTCTTTTATCTCAAGACAAGATGCCTTTGTTTTATTGGTGGGAGGCCTTTCATAAAGCAACTGAGCTAATTAACAGATTACCTACTTTGGTTCTAAGCTGGACGTCACCCTATACCAGGCTTTTCTGTAAATATCCTGATTATGAACAATATAAGGCTTTTGGATCTGAATGTTATCCATGTCTAAGACCTTATAATTAGCATAAATTACAATTCAGAACTACAACATGTGTTTTTCTGGGATATAGCAATTCTCACAAGGGCTACAAATGTGTTAGTTCTATTGGAAAAGTGTACATTTCAAGGCATGTTGTTTTCAATGAGAAAGATTTTCCTTTTGACACTGGATTTATCAACAAGAAGAACTCACCTATTGAAGAAGTACATCCTCGAGAGTTTTTTAAATCTCTCAATATTTCTACTTCCAACACTTGTCCAGCTGAAGAATCTAATGTCCCTGTCTCTAGTGCATCTCAGTCACAATCTCAATCAATTTCGTTTGTTCCTGTTACACCCCAGTCTAATATTCCTGCAAATGTGACGGTACAACATGATGAGCATCATAATCTTAACATATGGAGGAACCAACAATTGTAAAAATTTTAAATTCATCTAACACTATTCAGATGCAAGAAGCTAAATCTATTGAACCTGAACAAGTTATTAGACAGGGCAATCAACATCAAATGGTGAGAAGGAGTAAAGTTGGAATCTATAAGCCAAAACTACCCTATGTTGGTATGGTAATCACAGAAAATAATCCAGCACTAGAACCTTCCGGTGTCAATGAAGCTTTAAAGTCTAATGTTTGGAAAAAGGCTATGGAAGAAAATTTTAATGCTTTTATGAAAAACGAAACCTGGAAATTGGCCCCTTATTCTAAGAATAAAACTGTTGTTGATTGTAGATGGGTGTTAAACACAAATTGAATCCTGATGGCTCAACCTCAAAGCATAAAGCAAGACTTGTTGCTAAGGGATTCCAACAACTTCCAGGAATTGATTTTGATGAGACATTCAGCCCGATTCTTAAGGCTACCACTCTAAGGTTTGTTCTTACTGTTGCTATTACATTTGACTAGCCAATTAGACAGATGGATATTAATAATGCATTCCTAAATGGAATTCTAAAAGAGGAAGTGTTAAGGAAGCAACCTGAAGGATTCATAAATCCTAGATATCCTAACCATGTTTGTTCTCTACAAAAGGCTATTTATGGTCTCAAACAAGCTCTTAGAGCTTGGTTTGATAGATTGAGGTCAACTCTCTTAGACTGGAAGTTCATATACTCACGATGTGATTCCTTTCTGTTTTTTTGGAAAGAAAATTCTAAGGTGATGTTTGTTTTATATATGTTGATTATATCATTATTACTGGCAATTCATCTACTCTTCTTGAGGTCTTTATTGAAAAATTGAATTCCTTATTTGCTCTAAAGGATCATGGGCAACTTAATTATTTTTTAGGAATTGAGGCCTACAAGGATAATACTAGATTATATCTCAAGCAAGAGAGATATATTGAAACCTTACTTAGTCAATTTGGTATGACTCACAGTACTGATATCCCAACTCCTATGGTTGTGAATAGATATTTATCCAAGGATGATGGTAATCTTCTCAAAATCCTAAAGTATATAGGCAAGCAATTAGGTCACTTCAGTATCTTGTGACAACAAGACTTGATATTATTTTTGCTATCAACAAATTAAGTCAGTTCCTTAGTGCTCTTCCAGATGTTCATTGGCAAGCCTTAAAGAGGGTATTTCGATATCTCAGGGGAACATCAGATCTGTCATTACATATTAAACCCAGTAATCATCTTACCTTATAAGGTTTTTTTGATGCTGATTGGGCTGTATGTCCAGACGATCGATGTTCTATCGGTGGCTACTGTGTGTTTCTCGACGACTCACTGGTCTCTTGGTCAGTGAAGAAACAGAAGGTTGTTGCAAGATCCAGCGCTAAGTTAGAATATAGAGCACTTTCTGATCTTGCATCTGAGCTTGCATGGGTTCGTTCATTTGTCGGCAAGATTGGTCTCCGTCTGAAGCAACCATCTATTGCTTGGTGTGATAATCAAAGTGCATCAGCTTTAGCCTCAAATTCGGTCTTCCACGCTCGTTCAAAACATATCAAATTGGACATGCATTACATCCATGACGAAGTACTTGAGAAACAGTTGTTAATTTGCTATGTCTTATCATCTGATCAACTAGCAGACTTTTTTACCAAAGCTTTGACTCATTCAAAGTTTTGGACTTTCAGAACCAAACTTGGTCTCGTGAAGTCACCACACTCAAGTTTGCATGGGAATGTTAAGACTAAATTCCAAAAGAAGATTAAGCCCACTAAATATAAGTCTAGTAACAGTAAAAAGTCCCAGACAATTATTTTATAATGCTTTATCTGTCCAGATCAAGCTTCTTTTTGTCTTATTGTATTTTATTATTCTTTCATGTACATAGGTGGCTCCCTTTCTGTATTCTAGGGTTGCGTGTTGCCCTATATATATTGTTGTAATATTCCTGGTGGGTTACGCCACATATAATATTCATCTATTCTACAAATCCTTTCTTGCACTGTTTCACTTTCTCTTTAAAAATTTTTTTATGAAGATGAAGAACAACAACAAGAATAAGAAGAAGAAATGAATAAAAGAATTGTCAAGCCAAAACAACAAGTAAAGGAGGAAGAAGATGAGGAGGAGGTGGAAGCTAGAGAAGGAAACACCCCATTCAGATCTGGTAGGGCAATGATTTGAATCCAAAAATGTGACACCCTTAATTTCTCCCCAAGGTTGTGGTTTGGCATCAGACTTTTCCATTGTGGACAGGGTCCGTAAAGATGATATTTTCTCTTTTTGTTTTCATTCTTGTATATATGAACTACAAAATAAACATTCTCATTACTGTCAATGCCTTGAGGAATAATGTCCTAGATGAAAACTTGCACTTGCTTCCAGTTATTTAGCAGAGGGAGTTCAATGTTGGGAATCATGCTCTGTATATCACAAACATACAAATGATTTGTTTTCATCTCTGATAGTGAAAAGCATGCAAAAGAAACCCTTATCCTAATGCCATCCACAAATAGCAAGAATGAATTGTTACTGACAGAATTCTCGTAATCTCTAATAAGAATGTGCAGACAAATCAGAGGGAACTCTTCATGAACCCTAAAGGAGGAGAACATCCTTGACTATACTTGAGGAACCATTCTGGGATTCCTTTTCCAGGCAAAATAAAGTTTTTCTTTCCAGGCTGTTGAGAGAAAACTTGTCGAATACAAATTATCAAAAAATGGAGCATAAATGTAAGTACAAAAAGAAAGAAGAGAAAATTAAAGAAAGAAAGAGATACCTGATTCAATACAAGGCTACTGGACAATTGACTTAATGATGTGCAACATGTGGCCCTAAATTTTTCTAGATTTGGTGGCATTCCATTAATAAGCATAAGCAGCTTGCAATTATCCAACAAAAGACTCTTCATATGGTGACAATCTCTTATGCATGTTGAAAGAGTTGTGAAATTTCTGAAACTTAGATCTAAATGTATTGTATTAGGGAAGTAAGAAAGGCCAAAAGCAACAGAGACATTTGTAAAATTGCAATTTAAGAACCAAACATGTGTCAATGACAATCCGTTGCGACTTGAGATTCTTTGTTCTCCTCCTCAGCACATCTCAAAATTGTTCATCCCAACACAGAAATTTGCTCTTAATTTGCAAAGGTTTGGCAGAGTACAAATATCAACCGATAGCTTCGTTGGATGATGACACTCCTCCAAGTTCAAGATTTCAAGCCCAACAAAATTGCAAATTGATGGTGACAATTCTTTTACGGCTATTCTGCCCAATTCAAGTACTTTCATCTTTTCCATTTTGTCTAATATTTGTGAAAAAATTTGAAGGCTGGAATGGCCAAAACGGTTGAGACATTCAAGAGATGTCAACTTGAAGCTCGATGGAAAAATCCTCAAGCTCTTGCATTTCATGGCACTCAACTCTCAAATTATTCAAAAATCCAACAGAACCATGCATTTGGATTAAATTTGTGCAATCATCGAACCACAATTCTCTTAAATTAGAAGCTCCTAACAAATCTGGCATCTATCTTAAAAATTTACAATTTTTAAAATCTGTGCAGCTTAATCTCTCAAGCATCTATAAAAAAATCATGTAAATTTCATTTAAAACATGACATGAAATCTAAGAAAAGGTAATTCTGACAATACTTACATAATTGAATACATACCTTAACAAATGGTTGGAGCAATTGACAATAACTATCAGACAAGTTGATATAGACAAGTTTTGTTGGATAAAAATTGGATGGTAAAATTTTGAAAGGATACTCTTTCTAGAGCAGCACCCTTAAACTATTTGGAAGATGTTTGGGAACTTGAGAAAAGCTTGCATTTCTTACCACAAGAACCTTAAGGTTCTTCATCTTCATGAATCCATTTCCATTCCATCGTACTTCCTTATCTTGGGGTAAGTCTAGAATCATGACTTGAATTTTGTTTGCTCCCTTTCAAAATAAAAAGTACACAGTAAAAATTTAGATGCATAAAAGTGATAGGGCAAGTTTTAAAGGGAGCAAAATATAAACATGCATATTGTCCTTACCATATTTTCTTGTAAGACATGAAGAATGCCCTTGAAGTACCATAGCCTACTATGCTCACCTAGCTCATTTGGTGATTGTTGTCAAACATTTTCTTTACCCATATCTTCAATCAAGTCATGCATTGTGAGATGATTCTCTAAAATGTTTACTAAAGATTTATCAACAAGCACTCCAATGGCATATTCTGGTGGGATTTCATGCAAACTTTGCAACATACTCTTAACATCTTCTAATTTCTCACCTTTGAACAAACAAGATAAATAAACGAAAATTTCCTTCTCCTTTTCCTCTAGACAATCAAAGCTTAATTTAAGGACCTCAAAAATTTCACTATTGGGTATTGTTTCATATTGATCTAATGCAGAATTCCACTCATTGTTACTTTTACAGCATAAGTTGGATCCAATCATTCCCAAAACTAATGGAAGACCACAAGAGTAAAGTACTGCATGACTTAAAACGTCCACATCTGCAGAATTCATATTTCTCTTTTTAGGAGCATTCCAACTAATTACTTGAAGAGAATTCTCATAAGTTAACTCCTTTACATTATAAATTCTTTCAACCCCATGACCAGCTACAATTGTTTACTCCTTGTCGTAATGATAATCCTACTTCCATAGCCAAACCAGTCACATGTTCCAGCTATTGCTCATATATAATTTTTCCAATTTATCAACATCATCAAGAATTATAAGAATCTTCTTTCAGTAGAGCCTATGTTTTATTATTGAAATTTCTCTATGGAGATCACCCAATCCGAGTTTGTTCTCCTTGATTATTTCATAAAGTAATTTCCCTTGGAGGTGAGACAAGCCTTGCTTACTAGAGAGTTCTCCAACATTAGAAAGAAAACATAAATCTTCAAAATGATCAGCCACAGAGTTGCACACAGCTCTTGCAACTATTGATTTACCTATTCCACCAGTTCCACAAATTCCTACCATTTTGACTTCCTCATTAGACCAAATATCTAGAAGTCTGATTACTTCTTGTGCTTAATACTCAAGTCCAACAAAATGCAAAGGAATACGATTAATCCTTGCAGAAACTTCACTTGTGATCAGGAATCAAACAGAGTAGAGATTCAATGATTGTTGTGGTTTTTCTATGATCTGCTATTGTCTCCTGTAGAAGCATTTTGTTCAACCTTTGGTGATCGACATTAATTTAATGCTTGATAATTTTGGTGTTGTTTGCTTTAATGTTTCCCATGATAGATCCTATTTTCACTCCCCTATTCATTTCATGGTTACTCAGACTTTTCTTTTGTAAGCTATTTTCATTTTATTTAATTTATATTTTATCAAAAAAAAGAGTGAAAGGAAGGGAAAGTGTTGCAGGAGCAAGGGTATAGGACAGCGAAAATTGAAAAGCAAAACGCGGGCACAAAAAAAAAACAGATTAAAAATTAAGGGTACAAAATAAAATTTAATTGTTCTATGAGAAAATAACAAAAACATTTTTCCTAAAATATATAAATGACAAATAAGCCGTGTTTTAAGACCCAGACTGACTTGAATGGTCAGACTAGTCAGATCACCACCCAAATACAAAAATGGTTTGGTTCAACTCATTAACCTATTATGAGAATTGGACCATTTTAAATCATTTTGAATTGGACGATTTTGATAAAATCAAAGTTAATCCGAAAACCAGAATGGTTAGATTACTTTGAATCTTTTTTATTTTGTACTCTAATTTTATTAATAACATTTTTAATTCATTTTAAAAAAATTAATGCAACTTTCTTTTGAGTTGTTTAAGTAAAGTTTTGAATACATTATTTATCTATTGATATTATATGAATTAAAAAGGAAAATAAATATTATTTGTTTTAAAAGACAATAAAAGTAACTAAAAACTATACATGTGAAAAATAAAAAATAAAATTTAATATATTATGGCCAAACAACTTGAAATTGAAAATGTTAATGTCAGTACTTTTAATATTATATATATATATATATATTATTTTTATTTAATTATTATATTATCAATTGGATCACTGATCTAATAAGTTAAATCATGAGAGTCATGATAAATTGACTTTTTTAGTTTGTCATCCAGTCTAATTTTAAAAGCAGTGTAAATAAATATGACGAAATGTGATAATTTTATAATATTTTAGGGTATTGTGTGCGTTTTAAGAGTAATTTTTTTTCTCTTTTTTGGGGTTAAATTAACATTTTTAGAGTGTTTATCTTTATTTAATAAGTGATGAAGGTTGTCACTTCATGGGCTCGAGGAAGCATCCTTGAGCTAACAATTTTAATATCATCTATGCAAACGAAGAAAATAGGAAGGCGGGAGAAGTTGAAACGGAAAGCGCCAAGGAAACATCACTAAACGACTTTGATTTTGACTTCGCTAAGCATCCTTTTGTTTGGCTACAAATCCAATTTGTCACTAATTTAAAAATTGAAGTTTCTGTTGTTTTTTCAATCCCAAGTGCCAAGAACATTAGCTGGTTGCAATTTTATGGGGGTCCTATTTTTTCATATTTTGTAAATTTTATGCCCTTCTGATACAGAGAACTGTTTTTAATAAAAATATAAGTGGAAGTTAAGTGAAATTTAAAAGTATACTTAATATTCACAAGAAAGTGGGATAAAAATTTTATCTCATATATATAAAGAACTGGAACTCGATTCTTTAGGTATGGGTATAAAATCCAATTTCTAACCTATTTGAATAATCATCAAAAACACATTTAAATCATATTTGAGATGTGTTAAATTTAATAAATAGTTAGAACCCCCAGTCATCATATGTGATAGAGCTCGCTCACTTATACAAATCAAACGCAAAAATTATAAGTTTCATTTTCACTTCTACTTCTCTTCTTCTATTTCATTGTTACCAAACAAGGCATTAAAGCTGAAAGTAATAACTAATGGTGTATTTGGATTGATGAGGATTTAGATTTGAATTTAAATCTAGATCCATTTCAAATTATAATGTCCAATGATGTTGTAGCTTTGTCATTGACCATGATACAGAACTGTATCAATAAGCAAGCAACGACCTCATAAATAGTAGTAGAGGAACTCAAGAGACAACATCTGAAAAAGCAACAAGAGCAAGCTAAAGCTTGGGGGAAGTTGAAATGCTAGGTTGAAGAGAGGCAAAAAGATCAGTTGCAAACTTTGAAAGACGGGTGTAATAACCCTGATTTTAAAAGAAAAAAAGAAAAAAAAGAAAAGAAGAAGATAAATTAAATGATAAATAAATTAAATAATTTTTTTTTCAATTGATATTTTATTTTATTGTTTTAACTATATAATAAATAGGGAGTAATAGTTCAGTGGAAGCTATGTCATATGTTATTTGGAGGTAGGGGGTTCGAATCTTACCTATGCCAGAGGAAATTTCATTTTTATTGACCTCAAATGAAGTTACCAAAATACCCCTACCTCTTGTGCAATTTTAAAAAATATCTATTGGGTTTCTTGTAATTTTTCCTAATAAACTTCATTTCTTTAAATTCCTTCCTTTGTCGGTCAGAACAGAGCACGAGGGGAGAGAGGAAGAGAAATCCTAGATCTAGAAATTTCAAGCTTCTCTGTCTTCTCCATCGGTCTTCTCCGTCTTCTTTGTTTATTCCCATCTATCGTCGATGTTGATGAGTCCAGCAGCTTCATCTGCCGCAGCTAAGAGTTTGAGCTGTGAGTTCTCCCAGGTGCGACGTCAATCACTTCCCTCTTCCTTGCTGTGATGTTGTTTGGTGTGTGTGTGGGTTTGAATTTCAGTTCTCCCTCCTCTGTTTTCGACGCTGTGAAAGGATGCATAGAACGTTCTTCTCCCTCTTCCTTGTGCAGCGTCGCAGGTTCTTTCTCCTCCTTCTCTGCTCACGTCGTTGCTGGTTCAAGGTAGGAGATTCGGGATCCTTCTTTTTGATTATTTCTGTACTCCTAAACACAGCATATTGTCATTGTGCGTGAGAGTGTAGTTGCTCTGTGTGTGCGTGAGAGTGTAGTTGCTCTGTGTGTGCGTGAAATTACAGAATTTGTGTGTGTGGTCTGTGCTGTCGTGCTATTTAAGGGAAGAGATAATTTAAATATAGAGTTGGAAGGCTTAATAATTATATATATATATATATATATATGGTTAAATTAAATTAATTTGTTTGGAATGGCTGGTGTTGAAATAATTGTTAGGATGGAAGTGGAAGAGAAGAGCTTAAATGGAATACTTGGAGATTAGTGCTTATGAGATGTTTGTTAGAAGAATTGAACTTTATTTTGAAACTTCATTGATTCTTGTAGAAAGTAGAGTCAGTTTAGATGTTATTAATCTATAAATTTGATTTGAAAGTTGCAAGGGAACATTTGACTATGAAATTAATAATATGTGATTATTGTAATTCTTGGAGTTTCAATTTTTTTTCTTGTGTTCTATTGTTGCCGTGATTGTTTAAAAAGGAGAAGATTTTAAATTAAGCTGGAAAGGCATATTGAAGCTTGGTAATGGTATATCTGGGTCAAAATTTTTGAGCTTGGATATAAAATTTGAAGAATGATGCCTATAAGATGTTTGTTAAAATGTTTATTAGAGGGAGTGCTTGATTGTGCATTTCTTAAAAATCTCATTAAACTTTTTGGGAGACATAATGGA